CGCACGGTGTTTAGCACGATACCGTTGATACTTAGATGACATCTTCCTATAGATGGTCGTCCTCTTCCTCTCCCGACGCTCTCGCTCAGTCTCCATGATGAGGGTCTGGCACAAAATAAAAAGAGAAGTTTAAAAAAAATACAGGTCGACAATTGCCACAAAAACCCAACGACGAAAAGGAAAAGAAAGGCACCTACCCGTAAGGTCATACCGGCGATGTCCTGAGACAACTCCACGTCACTCATTGTTGTAAGCACTTTGCTTTCAGGGGCAGCACATAGAGGAGCTAAAACAAACGCCACTTGCTCACAGTTTAACAACAAGCTGTAGTCCCCCGGGATGACTATGTGACGATCAGAGCCTTCCGCTCTGACCTCTACGTGAGTATAACGACCTACAAACTCGTTAACGTCCTCCGGGTTGACATCTAAACTTGAGCCTTCACCCTCGACACGACGGCCTCCAACATTAGACGATGCGCCGCCCTCAACAGAGCATACGGAGCCGGCTTCTGGGTAAACTCCTTCCGCTTGGGGATATCTCCTCGATAAAATGGCATCAACCATAAATGTGGGTACGGGTACCATCTATGATGCCCTACTTCTATCAGCGTCCATGACCACGTCTTTCCCGAGCTCCATCCTCCACCTTTTTCTCATCAACGGCTCGTCCCTGTTTGAGGATTCGTCCAAGAGGTGTGGGATCGGTATTTAAGAAGCCTCCTACCTCATGACCACGACCCGAGAGGGACCTTTTAATTGAATAGGTTGAGGATGACCCTCTTGAACAGACTCACTCAAAGTAAACTGTGCGTCCACGGCAGCAATGACTTGTTGGAATACAGGGACTGGCGCCCTCCGCCTAGAAGCCCCTCGACCTGTCGTCACGAAGGGTTGTATCAATAAAATGATGTCATATAGCCAACGAAATGGTAGGGAAAACATTTACTAGATGGAACTTTAGGGCCATAACGCTTTACGAAGGTGGGCCAATCTCGGGTTTCCGCTGCATGAGGCAATAAACGGGCTACCCAATCCCTTATACCCGCAATAGGGCAAGGCGAACGTCCCATAGATGCAAACAAGAAGAAAACAAACTTTATAATGAATACATACGAAGGAAGGGTAAAATGAGTGGCGACACTTACGAGTCTCATTCCATCGCTCCGAGGACCTGGTGGAGTCAGAAACGATATGTTCAGTTTTGACAAAGAAGTACTTGTGCCAAAACTTGCAACTTGCTCGGTCGTTTGTCCCGACCACCAACCCTTTTGTGCCATGGTGCCTCAAATGCACCATGGTACCCCCGTGGAAACTAGGCGAGAACAGGCACAAAAGGTGGTGGACAGAAACGTCACATTCTGCCAACTCCGCATACTTGGTCAACAGCACAAGTATCTTAAGCGTATACGACGAAAGTTGTGCTGGGCAAACTTGGTAGAACCTACAGAACTCTTCCGCTAATGGGAAGAGCAGAAAAGTATATCCAATCACGAAAGGGTACTCATAGAAAGCGCAGTACCTTGGTCTGTGGACCTTTACAAAATCTCTCTTCGCCGAAACTATGTCAACATGAACGGGAACACCATACTTTACACGAAGAGCGTCAATGTGAACTTGCTCCGTCTCAGAGAGTACGGGGTAGGAGTAGGAGGGGGATCTTTGAGGAAGTAAGTTCGAGATATGGGGTGTATCGGCAGTAACTCCTCCACCGTAGGAAGACTATCACCCTCTTCTACCACCATATCTTCACCGCCCGAAGGGGGCACTATGGACAATGGGGCGGCCTCAGGAATCCCTTTACGAGATCGGTGTGACCTTGGCATGCTTTTGTTAAAAGAGAAAAGGGTGTTGACATAGCAAAAAAAAAGGAAAAAGAAGCTGTGAATGAAGAATGTGAGAAGAAGAAGTAGAAGATTGTCAGTGCAAGCTCGGAGAAATGAGGAGGGGTATTCAGAAGTGAAATGGCCAAGAACTTTCGAAAAAACAAACCCTCTATCTATTTATAGGATTGGGTGGCGCCAGAAGCGGAAGGTCACAGAGCGACACCAGAATCGAAGCAACAAGCCATCAACTCCTGTCTCAAAAACACGCGTAATGATGACGCACATGAAGATGACATCATTTCCCGGTAAAATACATAACCTGGTGTCTTGCAAAGCACGCTGACCGCCCGCCATTGGCCATACTATAACGCTTCGAAGGATCAAATTTCTACGTAGGAACGCATGGTGTCCACTTATCGAGTACGCACCAAGTTGCGCCCTCGACAAGCGGAGGGACTAACTGTATGGGTCCAAATTTGAATAACCACGACCGTCGACGAGTACGCCGAACTCGGTCTTCGTAACCCAACGTCCTACGGAGGACGACCTTAAGACAAACACGAGATTGTACCACCCTTGTAATAATATAGGTCCATTAGGGGATACTTGGAATATTCCTTATAATTTGTCTTTTATAGCTTAGAAGGGTTTCACTCCCTATATATATATATATATAGCAAACAACAACATTGTAAGGGGCACTACTGGACTAATCCAGAATATTTGTTGTATATTTGCTTACATAAACGAGTGAGAAGGTTGATCGTAAAAGATTGGTTGATTAGATAAATAAGGAGGTCATATTATCCGTATTCTCTTTATCCATCTTTCGTTCTGGATATTATTATACTTAGCTAAGATTTACCCCTTCATTTTCTTTAATTGATTTATTCAAAAAGGTTTCGATATCTTTTGAGTCAAACAGTAGGGTGTTTTGTCTAAGATAGTTTGTTAATGGCAATGTTGTGTCTTACTATCTCGCTTTTCAATGCAGGACCTTTTTATTAGCTTTCCCTTTAGCTTTGCATATTTCTCCTACATTTCATATTATTCTTATTTTTCTTATGATTTATGTGGATTACTAATATTGTCTCCTTTTGTCTTTTTGTTTTCTTGAGCCGAGGGTCTTCCTAAACAACCTCTCTACTCCTTCGGGGTAGGAGTAAGGTATGCGTACACACTATCCTCCCCAGACCCTACTAGAGAGATTTTACTGGATTGTTGTTGTTGTACCATGACGCAGTCAGACATAAAATTGGAATGATACATAGAAGATTAGCACGTTGACATGGCACAAATAGAGAAATGGTTAACTACTAAACAAAGAAATAAAGTTACAACACCTCTAATCTTATAACTGTGTGGAAATCATATGTTTTTGTTAAGTAGTTCAATCTCTTCACTTCTTTATCTATCTCAGTGTCTCTGAAATTATTTTGTACTTAATAGCTTCACAACTCTCTGAACTCGTCTCCCAGAGCTTTTTTTTACCGAAAAATAGAGAGAACAACATAAAAGATAGACAGAAAATGATGCAACAAACAGGGAGTTTTGATTGGAGATCATGTTAATGAAAATTTGACAAAAGTAACGCCATTGCCGGGGATCGAACCCGGGTCACCCGGGTGACAGGCGGGAATACTTACCACTATACTACAACGACTTGTTGTCTAAAGAAGCGTATGTGTCTATACGTTCAATAACATACCAAGTATAAAATACTACAAAATGTTACGCCATTAATCTGTTATGCACTTGCTTTTATGATATCCAATGTTTCTTGGGAGATGAAGCATCACAGAGTATACCTAGCTACCACAACTACAAAATTATATGTGAAAATTTCTTAGAAAGTATTACTACAAAATATAATTTTTGGACCATAACTTCAGTGGACTCAGGACTTTCAGTCTATTAATTTCAGAGAATGAATTTCCCTACCTATCACAACCATGCACCTTGCCCCGTCACACGCTTAAATATAATACACATACATAATATGTAATTAATGCGAAATTTCATATGTGTTTAAGGAATGAAGCAGGTTCAGAAAACCATTAATACTTCCGAGATATTCTTAGCTTATAAGTAACTCAAGTAGATATCCACACCTAGTCAGAAAGCTATCCCTAAAAATAGACAGAGAGGAAGAATAAATAGAATTGCATAGATACAATTAATGTAGACATCTTTACTTGGCCAAAGTAAATAATTTGAAATAATCAAGGGAAGAAAAGTCAATTTTGTCGTGATTAACTTAGATTTAGCGAAACTTTAATTAATAACGATACGCAAATGAAAAGTTTGAACATACAGTGATAAAAATGTGAATCTCAACACAACTTATGTCTTTATTAAGTAAAATAAAAGTTTATATGAGCGTTAGTTCAAACTAAACCCCTTCATAAAAACGATAAAAATGTATCTGCACCAGATGTTTACATCAAACTATACTAATTTATCATGGTTAAGTGATAAACTAGGGTAAGAATGTGTATTAATTAACTATAATTTTATGATAGTATATTTTATGTATTTATTGGATTGATGTAAACACCTGGTGTGAATAAAAATTTATCCCTATAACTAAAAATATCTAAAGACAAGACAATGGCTTTTGAGAAACCTAAATGTGATATAATATCAGTCGTCAAATATCTTACAAATATACTACTATTTGATATTTTAATATGATTTTTTTTAAAGTTCTCAAATGAAAGCACAATAATATTACTTGGCTTAAAATTCAAGAATTGTCTGCATTCTTTTCATTCAAAGTTTCATAAAGTGTGCATTTCACTTCAAATAGTTTTGTACCATATTCCATGAATCAGTTCAAGTGCATTTGTGTCCTGCTTTTTCTTCAAAATTGACCTATATCCTAAAAATAGTTGAATAATTATAAATATAAATAATGTTTAAGAAACAACACGTAGGGCATTTGGTCTAGTGGTATGATTCTCGCTTAGGGTGCGAGAGGTCCCGAGTTCAATTCTCGGAATGCCCCTTAATAATATATTTTGCTGCCACTCCTTATTTTTGCACTTCTATCCTTTTTTTGTAAAAATCCTTTGGACATCAACATATTGCAGATCCAGTCTGCCCAATGAAACCTTAAAAGATTGAGAATTTCGTAGTACAGAATTCTAGGTTTAAATGCAATCTTTAGGTAGTATTATTACAAGGAAAAATCAAATATACGCGCCGCTGGCTGATAATTATACATGATACTGGAGTAGCATAATACATTCTTCTGTACAATCCAATAACAATACTATCAGGCCTGGCCCATAATTGAATTCACCTAAAGAGTAAAAGAGCAGCGAACGTCAAGTTTATGACCATAAAGATATCTTGATAAATGAAGGCTAAATAGTGGAGTATATACTAAAACCTATCTCACACTCGAATACATGGCTCTACATAAATGAGAGCATGCATAAAAGGATCTTTCTTGAGAAGAAAAATATACAGGAGTTCATTCATATAACCAAGGTACTGATCTTTATTATTCTTTCCCAGGCGAGTCGTGTGTCAATGGACTGGCAATTTCTCTTGAACATTCTGAAGAGCCTATAGACGCGGTTGCTGAAACATCTTGAGTAGTGCTTGAAAATGAATCTGATCGTTTGAAATCACTGCTGCTGAAGTCCTTCCCTTTTGAATCAACGCTCAAATAATCAGTCAAAACTTTTTTCACACCAAACCCGCGATGGGACAGCTTGCTCCCATCGAGTATTTTTGATCTTTCTCCCTTTGCTGGACTAACAAGTTGGGAAGGAGAGAAGCTTGGTGTGGTGAAAGCTGTTTTGTATGGAGTGCCATTGACAGGTACTGAGAGTGGAGTTCCCATGCTCTTATGAGCAATGATACCGACTTTGGAAATTGGAACAAATTGATCCGAGTGCTTATTCAAATCATCCACATAAAGAAGGTCATCAATGCGTGCAATAATATTGAATGCCAGGCTCTCAAGAACTCTTGAGTAGCTCTCCAATATAGATTTTCCAACATCCTAAGGAACGACAAGAAACATTAGATTTCAATAATCATGATTGGTCATAAGTGAAAAAAGTTCTTTCCTTATGAGTGAGATTTCCATATCAAACCTTGTTATATTGAATTTTACTCATGTCTAAGGTTGTCTGTGGAAGACCAGGAAACCGTTGCTTTAAGCAAAGCAAAAGGCTTTCAGCTCTATCAGCAAGCAACTCCCTCTTATCACCATCAATCATCAAATCCTTAACCATTTCCCACGAGGACTTTGAATTGGACCTATGCGCACCACTCAAAGGTTTTGAGTGAGTTCTTCTGCGCCACACATAAATTGAGGACTCCACTCGGTTTGCTATCTCTAATGCTTGATGCTCAGAAGACAAGTCAAGGCAGTCCAGCAAACATTCAGGTGAAAATTGATCCGAGGTGATATATTTGTGGATGAGATCACCTAAGCTAGCTTTTCCATTCTGCAATATTAAAAATAAGAAAACTCGCAAAATGAGTAACCCTTGTGTGAATTGTAGTATACAAACATCAGTTAAAAGAATTGTAGTCTGTACCTTAGGAAGGCCTTCTAAATATGACTCGGGCACATCCATTTCCGCTAAGGTGTTGCTGTTAATAGCCAATGCAGCTTTCAGTATTTGGTTTGTGCAGTCACGTCTGTGCTGCAATTGCCTTCTTGCATCTTCACTGAGACCACCGGAGGGAACTCTAGGTACGGGAAGCCACCATTTCTCCTCTTGACGGGGTAGAGGATTTCTGAAAGAGGACGACCCATCAGATTCCTGAGCTAAGATCCCTTGCTCAACATACCAAAATTCTGTGCTTCTGAAACTGTCTAATATCTCCTGTGAAAGTAAGCAAACACTTTAGAATATATCACTCAGCATTCAACAACAACGACTGAATTCCCAAGGAACAAGGAATGGTTATCTTACAAGAAGCATATTGTCGAGTTTACGAAGTGCTGGAAGATTGATATAAAGGTCTGACCGCGGCCTAGACGTCATGATCTAAAATAGAAAACAGATTAACACATTACGATATATGAGTCCATTTTCAAAATTACAAGTGAAAATGTAAGTGATTTTCAAAAGCTCCAAACATTTGATAAAGTCCGGTGCACACATTCACATAGGGTCCGGGGAAGGGCCGCACTCAAAGGGTGTGACGTAGACAGCCAACTCTAATGCAAGCATTAGTGACTGCTTCCTGGGCTCGAACCCGTAACCTATAGGTCACACGGAGACAACTTTACCGTTGCTCCAAGGCTCCCCTTCAAAACATTTGATAAAGTGATTGGTATAAAACATTAGTCCTGCTACGTCCTCGAACCAAAGGAGCAGAACTTTCATCAGTGGTAGACAGCTTAAAGTACAAGAACAACTTCAAAGAAACCAGACTTACCTCAAGCTTGGTTCCATCTGGAAATGTTTGCCAAGAGGGTATCAATTCTACAATATGATCACTAACACAAAGAAGCCATTCCATTTCTCTACGCCACATTAACTTTTTCTCTGGAGGTAAAGGTTCTAATCTCCAAATTTGCCCAAAAAGAGTAGCTAATGGTAACAAAAGGACGAATGAGTAAAAGAAATGTACAACTTAGTCACCATAAACCAAATCCACACAATTAAAAGAGAATTCAATACGCAACAAGAGTAACATACCACATAGATTAGTAATAGCATTTGAAATTGCTAGTGCTGTGCAAACCCCATTTCCACAACCAGACATGTCTTCTCCCAACAGCAATTTTGAAAATCTCTCCTTCATCATTTCAATCTCTACACCAAAATCCAGTTTATTAAACAGCCATATTAAAGGGCAGCCCGATACTATGCACAGGGCCGGGAAGGGCCGGACCACACGGGTCTATAGAACGCAGCCTTAGCCTGCATTTATGCAAGAGGCTGTTTCCACGGCTTGAACCTGGCGACAACTTTACCAGTTACGCCAAAGGTCCCCTTCATTAAACAGCCACATTATATACAAAAATAGAACAAGAATATATGTCTAGAAAGAATATATAAAATCTTACCAGACAAACAAGACCCTTGTTTCTCTAATTTCCTTTTATCCACATAAGGTTTCTCTACTTCTTCAGAAACATCAGAATTTGCACAGTGCTGTTGGACCTCATTCTCCTCAATATGCCAAACAATTGAAGAAGGAGAACATGAATCCTCAGACCCACTATCTTCTTCTTCATTCACAGTTTCCTCTGACACCAAAAAACCAGAAATTGAACAGCTCTCTCTATCTATCATCTTTTCATTCAAACACATTAAAGACTGAATCTTTCCACCATTTTCCCCATAATTATCAGACAAAACCTCCATTTTATCATCAAGAAAACCAGGAGAAGCACAATAAACAGAGTTGGTCATCACAATGCCATCAAATTCAAACCTTTTACTACCAAAGTTTGAGACTTTAGCTTTATGATAAAGATTTTTAAGGGATTTTGAAACCTTAAATTTCAATGCAGAAAAATGGGTTTGGTTCTTGGATTTAGTACAAGGCTCTAGTGGAATAAAATGCTTGAGCTGTGGCTGAAATTCCAAAGAGACATCTTTTTTGTCATTGTGTGACACAAGTCTATCCATAAGGTTTTTTCAACTTCAACCATGTCTGCTTCTGAAAATGGGGTAAAAATGAAAAACAAGAAATGGGGTTAATTTTTTAAAGAAAAAGATAAAAGGAAAATGGAGAATCTTGTTGATTAGAAGAGTGAAGGTGGACAATGATTAATGGAAATGTAAGTGTTGTGAAGTGGGGAAGGTTGGATAATAATATGAGTAATGGAGAGGGAACAATGATGGTAGAGAGTGAGGCTACAAAAGCAGACCAAAAAACAGCGCAAGAAGTATATTTGGTGGGCTATGGGAGCATTGCTTTTGCTTAAATGAGGAGCCTTCTACACATCACTATCAATATCACTATCACTATCTTGCTTTTGTTGGGCTTTGCTTAAACAAGGGCTCTTAAACATAATTATTGCTTACTTCACTAGCCTATTAGTACAATATTTCTTTTTCTTTAATTTTTTTTAATTACATAAGGAGAGGAGAGGGAAAAGGGTATGTTAGGGGTAAAAACTAATTTATGATAGCACAGATATTAGGTTGTTATTGGTGGGTACGAGGAGAGGCAGAGATAGACCAAAGAAGTATTGCGGGAGGTGATTAAGAAGGATATGATGCTAGGGGTGTCAATGGTTCAGTTCGGACGATTATTTTATAAAATTAGTATACTAATTTTTCGGTTACTCTATTATGTATAACCAAAATTAGACTTTTCAAAATCGTCCCAATCATGTCTGTTTCTCTTCGGTATCGGTACGGTTCGGTTAATTTTCGGTATTTTTTTAAATATTATGTAAAATTCACCAGTTGAAGTAGAAAGCAATAACATATATTCTTTTATAGAACATAACAAAACTCTCTAGACATTTTTTCTGTTTAAAGGGTGATAAATTAGAAAAAAATGGCTAGAGTATAGATCCATCAACTGTTCTACTACAACGTAAAAGAAACCAAGCAAAGGCAAAGAAAATATAAATCACACGAGTGGAAAGATATTAACTAAACTAGGATTCGAGAATAAAGTTTATAGAAGATTAAATATTCAAAAAGATAAGTCTAAATTATATGAAAGGAAACATATTCAATACATTGTAGTTTGCTACTCATAATTGCTAGAATATTTTGTGTCTTGCTAAGATACTTGAAATAACTTAGTTTAAGTAGAAGTGGCATAACATGTTTTAGGAATTAGTATTTTGAGTTTAATTACTTGTTAGCTTGTAACAGTTTTCATAATTCCAAGGCCCAAAGAAAAATCAAATGCATTATTATTTTTAAACTTACTATATAAATATATTTTCTACATGTAAAATTTATCTAGCACGGTTCGGTATTTTTTCGGTTTATTTTTATAAAATAAAAAATCTACCCTAACTATTGGTGCAGTTATAAATTTTAAAAAAAACTGCCGTTTTTATAAAAGAAACCTAAAAATCGGTTCGGTTCGGTATGATTCGGCCGGTTTAGTCGATTTTTGAATATTCATTGACACCCCTACATGACGCTGCTTCAGCTTACCGAGGACATGACACTTGATAAAATGGTGTGAAGGTCGAAAATTAGAGTAGAATAATAGTAAATAGTTGTGAGCCTTATATTTTCTTATTTTATTAGATTTCTGTTACTATTTACTACATGTTGCTTCTCTCGCTTCACAACAACAACAACAACAACAACAACAACGACCCAGTATAATCCCACAAGTGGAGTCTGGGG